GCAGGAATGTGTGTATTTATTTGTGAGTTTCACAAGTGGGGAGGAAGGCGCAGGAGGTGTGCAGAATAAGTGCGCATTGGCCACAGAGCCCAGCTTCTTGGCAATTTCAGCCTTGGACAAAGAAAGCCTTATGGCTGTGAAAATATGCCCCCCCCCCAAGTGTGTGAGCTAACACACCTGTTGAAGGCTGAACAGGAAGACTGGAATAAGTTTCCCAGTGCCCAGATAGGCTGCAGAGCTCCTGCTTTCTCCTTCCACTGATGACCAGAGCCAGTCCAGATTATGCGAGGTGGTGAAAAACGCAGAATAAATTATGTTAAATAAAGGATGGGGAATGTCAGGCTTTTTGGTCTGTGTAATTAAATACAGGCTGCCCAATTTCAACTAATTATCTCAGTGCTGCCTCTGAATGGCCTTGGTGATAAATGTCTCCGTGCCCCTTCTTAGTGTGTTCACAGCAAAGCGTTCCCCGTCTTCCTCCCTTGGCTGCCAATCTAGTGCCTTTGGGGATCTGGAAGTTCAGCCTGCCACCCTTCTGCCCAGTCATATGACGGAAGCACCCAGCTCTTTTCCATGGTTCCTGGCATCTCCAGCTGTTCAAGGAGCATCACTCTAGGCGACTGTGCTTGTTTCATGCCTGCACTGTGTCCATACAAAATCATTTGTTAGTGCCTTGATTTTTTTTTAAAAAAAAAATCAATGACAGATTCCAGATTTAAGGAATTAGGTTGAGGCAGGGTTTCTTTTGTGATTGCACAGGAGAAATGGCAGAATCTGGAACTAGATGCAGAAACTTGGCTTTATTATTATCATTTTCAAACAAGCAAGCTTCTAAGAAACTAGGAAAATCAGAAGAGCCCTGCTGGATCAGACCAGGGGTCCATCTAGTCCAGCATCCTGTCTCACACAGTGGCCGACCAATTCCTCTGGAGGGCCAACAACAGGGCATGGAGGTTGAGGCCTTCCTAAAAACGTCATAAGAGCCCTGCTGGATCAGACCAGTGGGCCATCTAGTCCAGCATCCTGTCGCACGCAGGGGCTAACCGGTTATTCTGGAGGGCCAACAACAGGGCACAGAGGCTGAGGCCTTCCCACGATGTTGCCTCCTGGCTCTGGTATTCAGAGGTTGACTGCCTCTGAACATGGAGGTTCCCTGATTACAACGATATGTTCAAAAGCAGTGCTTGGCGAAATCCAGAAGCAGAAGTTAAATAAGCTCTATAGGGTCTGCTGGGTGAGGCCTGGAGGTGTTCCTTCACCCCGTGATCCTCCCCCAGCATCTAGTCATAGAATCATAGAATCACAGAGTTGGAAGGAGCCATAGAGGTCATCTAGTCCAACCCTCTGCTCAATGCAGGATCAGCCTGGAGCATCCCTGACAAGTGCTTGTTCAGTAAGGGGGAGCTCACCACCTCCCTAGGCAGCTGATTCCACTGCAGAACAACTCTTACTGTAAAAAGGGTTTTCCTAAACCCATTATTGTGAGTGATGCCAAATAAGCAAAAACTGCGGCAAGAAATGCAGATTGGAGCAAATGTACTTAATATGCATAGGCCCCGTTCACATGGAAAAGTTGCCGTGCTAAAGACACGAGTGACAGGCGGATTTTCGGTGCGCGATCACACCACAACATCTGGGAAGCGTAGTGCACCCGTGGCTAACCCATAGCTTCCCGCCGAAGATGCGTAGTAAAAAACTACTGCAGAAAGTGCACTAGTTTCCGGAAACCATGGGGCAGGGGCGGGCGTCTGATCGCGTTTCCGCTTGAATTCCGTGGCATCCGGCGCCCGTCCATGTCCCGTTGCAAACCGGATGGGGTTTTTTTTAGTCTCCACAGGATGCGCACAAACGCCCAACGGCGCATGCGCAAACATCGGTGAGGGGAAAAGATTTCCCGTTTGCCACGGAAGCGGCGCCTAGCGATTGCCGGTGTGATCGCGCTGCGCTGGGTGCCACGCTTCAGGATAGCCATGTGATCCGCACCTAACAGCCTAATGGGAACTCGACGGGACGTGTGATTGGGTTGCCGCACTTTACTTTGCTCCGGGGCAAACAGCCACACTTCCCCCCCCTGCGTTTTCAGGCCCATGTGACCGGGGCCATAGTTTATACTGCAGGTTAAGATTTCCCTTGGTGCAGGAATTTAATTCCCCCATGACAGCCCTGTTGCCAGGGGGCAGAAACATTTGCAAACATGCTGTGTGGGGTCTGCAAAGCTGTGGGCCAGACAGTCCTCTGCATCAACAAACCTTTCTTTCCTCCCACATCTTCTCGGCCTCAGACCCTGCCTTCTGCCGCTCAAGACGCTGGAAACTCCCAGTCCCTTGCAAAAAGGCCGAGGTGTTAGCAGAACACAAATACAAACATGGCAATCTCTGTCTCTCTCTGATCAGTCTATACGGCCAGGTCTGCTTTTACATGGTTCTTTGTGCAACGTTTGCTTCAGCTGTGAGCACAGAGGTGTTTGCAGCCATGGTGGCACATCTGCACATTAGTCTTCCTGGCACTTTCCTTACTTCATCTCCTCCCCCCCCTCCATGGCTACCATTTTCCTCCCCAAGGGGCCTCCAGAGGGCTTTTCCAGCTTTATTTAAAAAAAAATGTCTGTGCTTGCTATATTACTGTCCAGTAGCAGTTCAAAAGCCAGAAATTGCAAGTAGATAAACAGGTACCACTTCGGTGGGAAGGTAACAGCGTTCCGTGCGCCTCGGTGTTTAGTCATGCCGGCCACATGACCACGGAAACGTCTTCGGACAGCGCTGGCTCTTCGGCTTGGAAACGGAGATGAGCACCGCAACCCTAGAGTCGGATTCGACTGGCTTTCGAGCAAGGGAACCTTTACTTTAGTATGAGTGGAATGGCGGCTGCAGGGGACAGAAGCGAGTGAAATGGTTCCCCCGCAGGCAGGCCTTTCGAGAATGTGCTCCTTCCCATCCACACGGCACAGAGACACAAACTGCTGTCCTGCCATAAAAAGGGGTGGGGGGGCGTATCAAACCATGTTCAGCAACGATCAGCGCAGAGCAGAAGAAAACCTGGAAAGTGCACGATAAGAGGATGACAGCATGTGGATGCTCGGGGGGGAGGAACCCCAAACCCTGCCGCAGACTGAATGCCAAACTAGAGCAACACCTCTGTGCGGAAGCGATCTGGATTCACTCTATCTTGGTGCAAGATCCCACGAGCCACACCTTCTGCTCAGCGAGGCTGTGTCCCACAGCTCCGCCCCCAAGTGAGCCATGGGATGGACACCTGTCAGTCACAAGCCGAGAAATGCGATCTCAAAACCACGCAGGGTGGTTACACTTATTTCTTCTCTCTTCCTTTGTGTTTGGGAATAGCTGATCGTCCCAAAATGTGCGTGTTAACCTTTTGCTTCTCTTCAAGCGTGGCCATCAGTCTGCCCCCAGTCAGGCTTGTGGTAATCTTAAAGACGAGCTTTTTAAGGCTAACGCAGCTACGTCTCTAGAACCGCCTTTCCAGACCTGGGGCCTACCTTTAAAGCACCACCCACCCACGCCAACATGGGACCCTTGGAGTTGTGAGCCTGTCACAAGCAGTAGCATGACATCACGGTCACATGACAGGAAGAGGAGGAGTCATGCCCGATCTTCTCCACTACTGAGCGACAGCTTTCCTTCTGTTATGGCTCGTGTCAGCATGCGTGCAAAAAGACGCAGGATGCCTGAGGCCTTTGCGTCTCTCTGCATGCACGTGAGCAAATGGAGCAAAAAAAGGTGGCTTCGTAGAAGCTGATGGAGCTCCACAGCACACCTCGGGGTCCCACTGAAGACCACTGTTCTAGAACACAAAAAAACACTGTTCATTTTCTCTTCCGATATTTATGACTTCTAAGCCTAGAAGAATCTGGGCCTTGGGGGGCAGACTGTGGTTCATGGTTTCTTCCGGATCTCCCTTCTCACCTTCTGTCCAGTTCCTATTCTCCTTCTGCCCAGGGCACTTTCCCAAAAGTATGGCCCCGCACCGCCAAGGGTTTAGCTTCTGCAGGTCAATCTTGGCGGGGTTCTGGCCAAAGCTAGAGGCAGACCTAGCCTGAGCCAGCAGCAAGGCCAGTGGACTCCAAGGCCTTCAAGGTAATCCCCAGAGCCACTCCACAGGGCCAGGGTGCCAAAGCGGGGGGGGGGGGACAGGACAAGGCTTACAGTCTGTAAGTTGGTGCCCAAGTAAAAGCCAAATACAGTGGTTTTGTCCTCTCCATTCCAATGCAGATTCCAGTTGGAGAACTCAAGAAATTATAAGGTTTAATGGACACTGGGTGGGTGAAAGGAGGGAACTACCCATGGGCAGGGGTCATTTCCTGCAGGAGCGCACAGGAGCGGAGCTCCGGCAGTAAAGAGCCCAGGGGGCGGGCACATGCAACAAGCCCCGCCCCCTGCTCCCAGCAGCCCTCAGTCAGAGCAAGAAGCAGCCAGGTAAGTTGCAGAGCCCCCCCCCTCGGCCCCCCCGGACCAAAACAGTCCAGTGGCACCTTTAAGACCAAGTTTTATTCAGGTACAACCTCTCCCTCCTCTGCGAGGACAGATCTGCACGTTTCCCCCCCCCCCCAATAGCTAGCAATCCAAAACAGTCCAGTGGAGCCTGAGCCGTGGTTGTTGCCTTCTGACACACTTCTGGTGATGTCAGGGGGTGTGGCATATGCAAATAAGTTATGCTAATGAGTTATGCTAATGAGCTCCTGCACCTCTTTTTCTATGAAATTACCCCTGCCCATGGGATCCGTTGCTTTCAGTGGATAGGTTGAGGCCTGCAGGAGCCCCCTTCTCCATCTGGATCTCCTTTGCAAGACAGGGATGAAAAACGGAGCCATTGGTGGATCTGGAGGGTGGGGCTGTCTCCCCTACCATTGTTCTTGTTGGTCTACATGCCAAAGGCCACAGAGCCCTTTGCTTCCAAGCAAAAGGGATCGTTCGACCCTTGCTGATCTCCATGCTGTGGTCTGTAGAAACATACCTGTTGGGAAACCACCACAGGGAAAGCAGGAGAGGTTTTTCTAGCCATCCACCCCCAAACACTTCCATGAATGGCCATGGTTTCGTGCGGGAGGGGGGTTGTCGGGAGATGCCCCTCTGTTCTGGGTCTTTTTTCTTTCGGAACGAAAACTGATAGAATAATTAGATTCTGTTAATCGAGAGTAGATCTATACTGTTGTGTCATGGGATTCACGGGAGGGAGGGAGAAGGACTGAAGCCGTTCTTTGCTTATACACTGTGGCCCTGTATCCCCCCCTCATCCCCCTTCTTCCACATGCACAAAGCGCCCCAAAAGAGAGCCCCAAAGAGACACACTCACCCTCCCCATACCAAAAAGCCCCACTATTATTATTTATGTTCCTTTCATTTTTCCGTTCAGTTTGTTTTTTCTTGGTTGAGTAGTGTTTTTTAGGAAAAAAAATAAAAGTGTAATTTTTTTGTGTTTAGATATATATATTTTTTGGTTTATTTTTATTTTATTTTATTTTTTTGTTTACTGTTTTCTGCAGATTCTGGTCTGAGCAGCCCTCTCAGTGACCCTGAGTTTGACTTTGAAAGTTAGTTCCTGTGTGTTTTTGTTCCTGTCGGTTTCATCGGTTGTGATACTTCCTCCCGTTCCCCTCCCTGAATTTTCGGTTTCCCTTTAGTCACGCTCCTCCCCACGTGTGTGTGCGTCTCCCTCCCCACCCCACCCCGTCTCTTTCTCTATCCATCTGCAATCTTTGCGGCTTTTGCCATCTCACCCCCCCATGCCGTTTGTTTCGTCCGGTTCGTGCTTCCAGTTTTACAGTCCTCGAACTGAAAGGCCTTTTGCAAAGCGATCAAAATTCTCAGCCGAACGTGTATGTATCTCTCTTTGTGTGTCCGTATTTTTATATATGTATATTAGTATAATTTTTTTAAAAAACACACAAAAACCCCACATAATCCAAGGATCGGAAATTGTCCTAGAGGTCATCTAGTCCAACCCTCTGCTGGACGCAGGGAATCCAAAGCCCGAGCACTCCCAAGAGACGGCTGCCCAGCCTCTGCTTGGAGATCTCCAGGGAGGTCCCACGGTCAAGCATTAGGAAGCTTTTCCCCTGACATTTCAACCAAAAATCCATCCTCCGGTAACCTGAGCTCAGTAGGTTTAGCCGTTCCCTCCCAAGCAGTGGAAAGCGAGAGTTCTTTCGCACGTGCTGAATAACACGGCTTCGGTCCGTGTCAGCGACTGCTTGCGAGTGGATGTTGCCATTTCACACAGCTAAATCCAGTTGCAAAGTGCATTGAACGTGGATTGAAATCATGTTATCTAGTGTGTGGTGTGAAAGCGCCCCTCTTCCCTGCAGGCTGCCCTTCAAGTATTGGAAGAACACAGCTGGGGTTCCCCTTTCTCCAACTTAAACAGACCCTGATTCATTCTGCGTTTCCTTGTAGGGTTTGTTTTCCAGACTCTTTATCAGATTGTGCTATGCAGAACAGTCGGGTCCAGACTAAATTGGCAAGTTCCACTGGTTTCCACATCTGCTGCAGCCCCCACCCCGTGTCATGGGGGGAAGGAGTTCCATTCTGCTCCTGGAAAATTTAGTCTGGATTCGAATCTCCTCTTGGCTTTGTTTTCCCCTGCTGTTTCTGATTCTTACATTCAGTTTACACGGTGTTTTATAACAAGTTATTCCAGACTGATTTGAACCCAGGTCTTCCTATCTAGTACATTTTTATTCTGCCTGTCTTCAGAGGAACTCGGGATGGTATACATCGTTGTCCCTTCTCCATGTTGTTCTCCCAATAATCCTGTGTGGTCAGGGAGGCTGAGAGAGAGTCATGGGCCCAAAGTTTCAGGGCAAAATGGGGGTTTTAACCTGGGTCTCGCAGATCCCATTCCAATTCTAACCACTGGACAGATTAGCTTTCTTGTTTTTGCATGCACTGTCTTTCTTTGCCACATTACTCTGTAGCCTAATTCTCATTTCCCTGGATCTGGACTGTAACGAGTAATTGTGCCTCCCGGTTTAAAACAAAATCCCTGCGCACAGAAAACTAGACTTAAGAGGAAGTCAGAGGTAGAGCCTTGATATATTAGATTTCCGTGCTCTGGATTTTCATTTATTTTTAACAAGCCATCTGTCACGCAAGTCCCGGACATTGTTAGGCTGAAGTAGTTCAGCCAAACGCATGCTAGAACCCCTTCAGTCAGGCCAGTTCACATTGAATTCCCAGGCATAGACAGAGAGATCTGTGAGGGATCTGCAAAGCATGGAAAGAGATGAGTAACTTGTACCTCTCGTTGTTTGGAAGCTTAAGAAAACCAAAAACAATTTGGTTTCAGGAGCCATAAATCTGCTTTCCAGGTTAATTAATTAATTATCATATGGCAGTGGCAGTTGTATAGTCAGGGGAGCCGAAGATTGTCTGGCCGCCTGAAACTCTAGCTCGTTTTGTGGCAAGGTAGGTTTGTTTTGGGGGCTCAGAGAACTGTGACTGACCCAGGGTCACCCAGCTAGCTTCATGTGAAGGAGTGGGGAATCGAACCCGGTTCTCGAGATTGGAGTTCACTGCTCTACTACACTACACCAAACCACTACACCAAACTGGCTCTTCTTAACCACTACCTCAAATGGCTTTTCAGGTTTTCTCTCCCCCCACACACAGACATGAATCAAGACCTCACAATCGCTTCCCATTGGCCGTCCTGAGAACAGGGTTGTTAACCTTTTTGTTTAGAAAACTCTGGCACTGCAGACTGGCTGCTTCTGTGCATACACAGAAGGCCTTTATCCTGGGGCAAAATTAAGGGTGTGGGGGTTGGGTTTTTTAAAAAAATTAAAATAACCCAAAAGCAACAGTGCTCCCCAAGCATGTGCAAAATGACTTCCTCTTCCAAAAGAGAGCGGGTTTGGGGTGTTTGTTTAAAGTCATGTAAGAGCAGGGTGCTTTCAAGCACGTGCAGCGTCCTCCACGTCTTCATTTGTCCTCTCCCCCCAAAAAAAAAAAAAATTGTTGAAATAATGAAAATGATAACCACATGGATTGTTTATTCTGGCTTTATACTTTCCTGTCCTGGCAAGTAGCCCGGAAGACGGAATTCTAGCCAGGCCTTTAACAACCTAGCCAGCTGTCGGACCTGTGTGGGAGATTATTAGTATGATCGCTTGCAAGTATGATTGCTAAAAAAGGCTATATAAATCAAGTAGAGTAAAAGGCACGAGACGTGCCTCCAGGCAGCAAAATGAGGGCAGTGTGACAGATCACTGGCCGGGGGAGGGGGGGGGGGGCGATCCTGCCCAGAGTTGCTCCAGTCCACACCCAGTGAAATCAATGCACTGAGTCTGGCGTAACTCTTTGTAGGACAGCATTGTTAATCTTGTGGTTAAATAGACCAGCTATAGCCAGGTGGCAACATGAACTATGTGGAAGTCCTCTCCATAGTCTTTATTTTTAATACACTCTCGGGAGCAGAGGGTACAGCGTCAGGCTTCAATAGTCAAGGGAGTGCAAAGGGAGCATTTGCAGAAGGACAAGCTCAGAAATACGTACTGGGAGGAGACATCTGAAAGTTAGTAGAAGAGGTTTGTATAGGAGACAGGACAAAAGAGGGAGCAGGACAAAAGGTGGGGTTGTGGTGATGAACCGGATCGTAGAATCATAGAGTCGGAAGGGTCATCTAGTCCAACCCCCTGCACAATGCAGGAAATTCACAAATCCCCCCCCCCCCCTCCACACCCGCAGTGACCATACCCAGAAGATGCCAAAAAAACTCCAGGATCCGTGGCCAAACTGGCCTGGGGGGAAATTGCTTCCTGGCCCCAAAGTGGCAACCAGCATTTCCCTGGGTGTTTAAGAAAGGGCCACAAGAACTAATCAACTGAGCGAACGTCAGTGCAGTGAGGTAACTAGTGAGCTGGACTAGGGAGACTTGGATTCAAATCTGCCATGACACTCGCTGGGTGATCTTGGGCCAGTCACACACTCTCCGCCCAACCTACCTCGTTGGTTCATCGGGAGGATGCTGCGGAGATAGGAAGAATTACCGTGAGATCCGAAGTCTTTAAATGTGGCCAGTAGAATTGAGAAACAGAGGCGAGGAGGGCAAGCGAGACTGAGATCCGCAATGATCGGAAAACATCCGTGTCTGAAATGGACTCAGCCACCTATCTGGACCTCACGGAACCTGTTGGCTCCATTTAGGATAAAAGTTCTAAGCTCTCGTCTCAGTGCCAGGAAACAAATGCTTTAACCCAGCAGCAGAGCTACGGAGCAACAAGCTCCCCGTCAAATTGCAGTTTCATTATTGCTCCAGCCCGCTCAACAGATGTTTGGGTGATTTTGTCTGTTGAATGATCTAGCCGTGGGGGGGTGGGGGAGGTGCAGAGAGGGAGAAAGCTCGAGTTCTTTGCGATAACAAGATTAAGGAGATTTCAGGGGATTTGAAACGCTAGATGAGAACTGTCTCTCCTAAGATCTCTTACGTTTCAAAGCCAGAAAATGTGGCCTTGCTTGGCAACTAGATTTGGCAGAAAAGCCGCTTTGTTTTCGGGTGGTGGGGGGTTGGAAAAGGGCAGGCCAGGGCCCTGGCTTCCCCCCCCCCCCAAAAAAACCCCCCCCAAAAAAAGCACAGAGCAAAATGTTTTTATTCCAACACACACACAAATATTTCTGTTCTATTATCCATGCTTAGAAGGGGCCCCCCTCCTCCGATTTCTGCATGGGTCTGGAAGGAGGTGAAACCAGAACAGTGACTCAGGCAGAGATGCGGTAAGGAGTCCTTCTGAGAGGATGATTCTGCTGCTGTTCTGCCTCAAGAGAATGGAATGGCCCAGTCAGCACTGAGGCCCCGGCACAGAATGACTGGAAGAAGAGAAGGCTGCTGCGGTAAGTCATACAGAGAAGCAGCAGACAGCCTCCCCTGCAGCACCAATCTGCAGAGCAGACTGTCTGCTGGTTCTCTGTATGATTTACTGCTCGTACAATGTCAGTTTTGTGGCTTGGGGGTGGCTCATTGAGATTTTGAGCATAGGGTTTTTTTGAGCATAGGGTTACCATTCCCCATACAGAGCAGACTGTCTGCTGGTTCTCTGTATGATTTACTGCTCGTACAATGTCAGTTTTGTGGCTTGGGGGTGGCTCCTTGAGATTTTGAGCATAGTACCATTTTGAGCATAGGGTTACCATTCCCCATACCATAGAGTTTCTGGCCAAATGCTAGAGCGCCCCCCCCCTGGCGTCGTGCCTAGTGCCATGATGTCACTTCCGGGTGATGTCATTGCGATAGTGTGCGCGGCAGAAGATCTGAGGAGGAGCCAGGAGTCCCCCACTGGCAGAAGGTAGTTTGTTTTAGTTTTTGCCTACAATTTAGACATTTGATCTCATTAGATGCCTCCATTAAATTATTTTCTGTGCTTTGTTTTCCGTTGTGTGACGGACAAAGGGAAGAGAGGCATCGGGGCTGCCAACTGGCCGGTGCCATCCTCTTTGGAGTATTTGCCAGGCCTAGATCTGTTCGTGTGCCCCTAGTTGGCCTTTGCACGGGTTTTGAGAATACCAGCTGGCCATCTGAAAAATCTTGGAAATGGCAGCTAGTATGCCCGTGCCACAGCCAGCTTTACTTTCTCTAGCACCCACCGGTAGCCTGTTCTGGCTTCCATCTGCCATCTCCCGGTATGCTCTGTGGCAGCCACTCGGCAGGGTCGTTCTCAGGTCCCGACGGGGGCTAAACCCCTACTTTCTCCACTGCTGGTGAGGTATCTCTTCCTGGTTGGTTTTTGCAATGGGCAGGGGGGGAAGGGCAATCATTCTTTGCAAAAAGCACGCTGTAAAACTGGTGGATGCTTTGCTAAGCTTTTGCCATCTCTGTGCCGAGTTTCCGGGTTATTCTCTGACCAAGCCGCCTCTGCTTGCTCCTGCTTTTAATCACGTAATACCCGATGGGGCTCGAAATTCTCCATGGCTCCCCACCACCCTTCCCCCCCATTCCCAGGGCACTGTGGTGGTTTCTCAAAAGGCTACTGGGTAGGGAACAAGTTTGTCCGGAAGCAGCCACAGCATTTGCCAACTCAGTTTAATGGGCAGAGCTGGTGGAGTGTGGTATTTTAAGGACACAAACACCCAGAATTTTTTTCCTCCCGAACCTTATCCCGAATCAGACCATGGTATCGTCTACTCAGACTAGCAACAGCTCTCCAGGGTCCAGTGTTCCCTCTAAGCAGAGCAAGTGTGAGCCAGCTCACAGTTTTTTTTAGCCTCCAGCTCAAAGATTTTTGTCTTCACTCAGGAAGGAGGGCTCCAGAGCAAACTACTCTTTGCAGCAGTCAAAGCACTCGCTCACAACTTTAATGCCGGTCGCTCACCAAGTAGAACTTTTGCTCACAAGACTCCGCAGCTTAGTGGGCACATTGCGTTTCAGGTGGAGGTGTTCACTGTCTCCTCCTGCCAGATCCTTTTAGCTGGGGATTGAACCCAGGACCTTCTGCATGCCAAGCATGTGCTCTACCCCTGAGCCACAGCCCCTCTTGAAGGACGACTAAGTGTTGCAACTCAGATGGATAGAAAGGCCCTTTCAGGGCATCTGTTTTTAAAGCCGTTTCAGTTGTCATGGCTTCCCTCCAGAGACCCACAGGAACTGGCAAGGATGGTAGGAAGAATTTGCTGCTGGTGGTCCCTAGGCCTTTTGCAGCATTAAAACTCCCAGGGCTCGATGGGGACGAAGCCATGTCTGTAACTGTACCAATTGCACAGATAAGTCATAGGGAAACGCTGGCATTAGTTAACTACATGCAAGAACCTTTTTTACATGGAAGAGCATTGATAAGTATGAGGCATGGGGTACTCATCCCTGCAATTCCCAGAATTCTTCTGCCGCATTCTACGTCCTACGGAGGTAGAACGTCTCTAAACCAGCAACCTTACCATTCTTATTTGGGAGCAAGCCCCGTTGCGTCAGTAGGACTTACTTCAAAGTAAACATGCGCAGGATTGAGCTGAGACTGATTTATTGCGTTGTTTTGCAGGCAATGCCCCATTTCGTCAGAACAGTCAGACTGTGCCACGATCAATCAGCTTAAGTTGTTGTGCAGACATTTCCCCGGTGATGCCGATTCCCTGTCTGCATGTTCCTGTGGTTGTTTCTGCTACAAATCTAAGTGCAGTGTGGAAACTATTTTATTTCTAATGCTATTTCATTCCCCTTTGCTATTTCAGTCCCCCTCTAATCTGACCCCTGCACCTCCAGACGTCAGCCTTCTGAAGCCATTGTAACAGAGCCCCTGTAATAATGTTGAAATGCCACTCAGCGAGGCTGACATTGTGTTCCCCCCTACACACACACGCGCACACACTGTAAAATTGAGGGGCGGGGGACAGATATAAAGAACTATACAGAAGCTGCAGTGCTTCTGGCAAGCCAGTTTTAGCTGTCAGTCCCAATAAGAATAGGAGCAGTGCGTAATTCTGAAAGAAGGGGGCTCACATCTGTTTGGTGGCCAGGCCTTCTGGCTAGGTTGCCCTGCTCGGAAGTCTTAAACGTGTGAAGGCAGACTGTGATTACTCAGGTTCAGGGGAAAGCACTCTGTTTCAGGCCAGAGTCCTGGCATTCAAAACCAATTAACTTGTCACTCGAAATCACAGAGGTGCAGAGTGCATTCCAAAGGGAAATGATGCCATGCTGGGAGTGGGGAGGGAGACGAGAGTTCCAAACCACTGCTGAAAGAACAGCGGAGGAATCCCAGATGTGGCGCTCGCTTTATTGGAGAGATCTGTGCTTTCTTTGCAGCAGCCTCGTCTGTGCCAGAAGGGAGCAAACTATTAGAGCCTTTCTCTCCGTAGACTGCACATGACCAACAGTATGCTGCTCTCCTTTGAAATCTCAAGGCAAAGATACCTGAGGGAGAAGACCGGCATCTTCAGAATACATATTGCTGTCTTCTTTGATAGCCAAACTCATACAACCCGTTTCTGAACCACAGAAGTTTTAACTGACAAAGTTCTCCTCCCCCTCACCCCAAATACTCAAATGCTCACATCCAACCAAGGGGAACGATCTTGGTTCTCTAGCTTTTTTCAGGTGGATGGGAATTTCTGACTTTAGGAAATTTAGGCCCTCTCACAGGACCAGTCTGTGAGTGTTGAAGGGAAGGGGGGCCTCCTGATGCTTTTGAAATGCACAAGAAGAAGAAGAGATTGGATTTATACCCCGCCCTTAACTTGGTGTCCCAGAGCGGCTTACAAACTCCTTGCCCTTCCCCTCCCCACAACAGACACCCTGTGAGGTGGGTGGGGCTGAGAGCTCTTTCCAGAAACTGCTCTTTTTCAAGGACAGCTGTGCCAGAGCTTGTGACTGACCCAAGGTCACAACAGCAGGTGCAAGTGGAGGAGTGGGGAATCAAACCCGGTTCTCCCAGATTAGAGTCCACACACTTAACCACTACACCAAACTGGCTCAACCAAGATGAGATTATTCCAAATGAAAACGATTTTCATAGCAGAATTCAAATCAGAGTAGGAAATCAAAATAGCACTCCACCAAATTATCATTGGGTGAGAAATTCTCCTGTGCATGTGCTAGTAATAACCGCCACTTCCCGGTGGATTGTGTATCACAAATCAGATCTGTCCGCGTGCCTTTAGGAAAGGCCACTCCACTTTGCCCCAGCCGAGCTCAAGTGAACCTTGTGGAAACTTTTGAAAAACCTCCACAGCGCTCTTGCGTATTTTTCCTCACAGACGTACATCAGACTTCCCTTGTGCCATTGGCCAGCTCAATTCATACCCCTCTTTCTTTTTTATGTATGTGTGTTTGTGGGGTGGTTATTCCCGCCCCACCCCCCCATTTTTGGATGTCTTTATTATCGTGAGGGGGTTTTCCCCACTGATCGATTTTGTTCACTCTCAGCAGTGTGACATTTTAGTTTCTCTTCAGATCTTACATTTTGCTACCATCTGTTTCTTTTGCCGTTTGCTTGTTTTGCTCCCCACCCACCCACCCCCTTAACGTCAGTGTTGGAACTGCTAGCAAGCGTCTGCTTTCAGAATCTCTCTCTCTTTTTTTTTTTTTTAATTTTCCCTTTTTTCCAGATGAAATGCATATTTTCAGTAAATGTCGAGAATGGGGCCATCAAGGGGAGAACTCTTCATTTTCCTTTGAGTTCCAAGGACACAATTTCGAGCCCTCGATCTCTCTTCCCCACCACTCCTCACTCACCCTTTCTGACCGTCCTTCCATTGCAGTCGTTCTCTATTTACATTGCAAAAGTTATTTGTCATTTGTAACCGTCTGGTAGTTTTAATTGAAGGAGACTTTTTGCTTCCCCCACCCCTTTCCCCTGTCCCACTTCTAGGTATGCTCAACCACCCACCAATCCCCATTTCAGAACTGGCAGATCATACAGAGCATCTCAAAGCCAATGACAACTTGAAGCTCTCTCAGGAGTACGAGGTACGGAAATACAAATGTATGGTTCTTTGCGGGTTCCTGGGGAAAACCGTGGATGCTTCAGTGCAGAACTGACTGAGGGCGAACCAGCAGGGGTCATTTCCTGCGGGAGCGCACAGGAGCAGAGCTCTGGCAGTAAGGAGCCCAGGGGGGCGGGCATATGCAACAAGCCCCGCCCCCTGCTCCCAGCAGCCCTCAGTTGGGCCACAAGGAGCAAGAAGCCGCCAGGTAAATTGCAGAGCCCCCCCCCCGACCCACCTTCAGGTACAAGCTCCCCCCATAGCTAGCAATCCAAAACAGTCCAGTGGCACCTTTAAGACCGAGTTTTTTTCAGGTACAAGCTCTCCCTCCTCTGTGAGGACAGATCTGCACGTTTCCCGCCCCCCCCAGTAGCTAGCAATCCAAAACAGTCCAGTGGAGCCTGAGCGGTGGGTCTGACACACTTCCGGTGATGTCGGGGTGTGGCATATGCAAATAAGATATGCTAATGAGTTATGCTAATGAGCTCCTGCACCTCTTTTTCTACGAAATGACCCCTGCGAACCAGCGTGTTACAAGGAATACCCTTGATGGGCTATCAGGTTCTCTCCTCTCTGTAAACATCTACTACAACTTATCATGGCATGTGAGGGAAAGTACACAGCGTAATGATGTCCAAAAAGGAGCGACCCTTCCAAGGAATATTAGAAATAGACTAGAAGACTCTTACATTCTTAGTGATCCCTGACTGGCTAGGATTGACCAACACACATGTTATGGGTATGTCTGATTTATCATCCCATTTTGGTCAGAAATTGAATGGATTTTATACTAGAATGTCCACTGGGATGCAATACTTTTACCGCAGTAATTGAGGTACATTCATTCTTCCAGAAACCTCTTGAAAAGGGACAAAGGCTGTGGATCTCACGAGCCTCGGCAGCAGCTAAACTATAATAGTTCTTTACAAGTGGAAGGCAGTAGTTAAGTCGCACATTGAAATAGGCGTTGAAGCGATGCTAGTCCTTGCACCTGAAAAAAAGAGTGGCTGCCAGCAGACGGGGAAAGAAATGTGAAATATCATGACATTTGGTCTGAATTAAAGTGTGGGGGGGGTTGGGAAGCTCTAGAACAAATTGGCCATCTGCGTTACTGGGGGAAATCCAGGTGGGCTGCCACCCTGGGCCCAGTGGCTGCAATGCGGCTGGGGAGGAGGCATCCCGGGGGGCCCTGGCTTTGCCCTACTGACCCAGGCACGGTTCAGCCTGTGAGAAGCACGGGCACGGCACCTGAGTGGCCCTGTGGCATCCCAGTGAGCGGTGCCACCGCCTTTCTCTTCAGGTGGCTCTTTAACTGTTTGTCAGTGAGGGGCCTTCTTCCAGGGCAATTTTCGCCTCTCAGTCCACCCCTAGGAAGCTGGCGAGGGCTGACCAATTATGTTCAAAGGGCAGGAAGGTGTGAACATCACTGCGGGGGCGGGGCCTAAAGGCAGATTGTCAGGGAAAGGGAGAAATAAAACAGGCCTTCCAAATTGTGTGTGTATGTGTTTGGTGGAGACGGGTGCAGGTGGCTGGATTTCAGCCTTTCGGTTCAAAAATAACCAGCCAAGTCTTTCTGGCAGCCGGCTTTGACTGTATGAATCGCTAATCACCGGGAAGATGATGGGAAGAGAGATTCTCGGCTCCGCTGGGATCTTTCTAACCAATATCAGCATTTGGGCACGGCAGGCAGGCGAGGAGCAAATGAAATGCACGCCCTCTGCCTCCCCCTCTCCCCCCACCCCCCGGTTTCTCAGCAGCTAATCTGCATAATGCAATTTCTGAAAGTGCTTTTGGCGGTGTTCCAGGGGCAGGCGCCTCCGAAGCAGCAGATCTGGAGTTTAAAACAAACACCCTTAATGAATCCCCCCCAGCTCAGCCTCTGCCACTTATCAGGTGCATGAGGGGATGGCGGGTGGGGAGCAACTACCCCCTCTTCTCCACTCAGTGCATTATGGCAGCAAAACGCAAACTAGACTAGGGTGCGCCACACACCGGGAAAGCAGCGTGTATGCAACATGGCTGTGCTGTGGACAGTGGTGCTACTCTTGACCTCTGAGTCTCTGTGGTCCAAGTCTGATTCTTCTGGATGTCGATCCCTGTCCAGATGGGAACGGGAAGCATCAGACAAGGGTTGTCGGCCTCCAGGTGAGACCTGGAGGTCACCCACTTTTTACAACAGATCCCCAGCTGACAAAGATCAGCTCCCCCGGAGAAAACGGCTGCTTTGGAGGGTGGACTCCGTGGCATTGTACCACGCTATGGCCCCTCCCCAAACAGTCTGATTCTGCTGGATGTCGATCCCTGTCCAGATGGGAACGGGAAGCATCAGACAAGGGTTGTCGGCCTCCAGGTGAGACCTGGAGGTCACCCACTTTTTACAACAGATCCCCAGCTGACAAAGATCAGCTCCCCCGGAGAAAACGGCTGCTTTGGAGGGTGGACTCCGTGGCATTGTACCACGCTAAGGCCCCTCCCCAAACCCCGCCCTCTCCCGGATCCACCCCCAAAGTCTCCAGGTAGTTTCCAACCCAGACCTGGCAACCCTACATCAGACACACTCTACTGGGTATGCTTGCCAACCTCCAGGTGGAAGCTGGAAATCTTGCGCTATCACGACTGATCTCCAGGCAACAGAGATCAGTTCACCTGCATAAAATGGCCGCTTTGGAAGGCGGACTCTGTGGTGTTACACCCCATTGAAGTCCCTCCCCTCCCCAAACCCCGCCCTCCTCAGGTATTTCCCAACCCAGAGCTTGCAACCCTGTTGCTGAGGCCTCTAAAGGGAGATTGTCAGGTCCCCAGCTAATTCTCTCTCCACACACACGATGGCAGTGTAATTAGGGTTGCCAAGTCAAAAAAGCTCACCGGCGGGGGAGCCTAGCCAGGCTCTGGGAGCCGTCCTCGGATGTGCGTGCGCGACGTCGACCACGTTGAGGGCGTGGCCTCGATCGTCGGAGGGAAAACCATAGAGTTCCCCCCGGGGCTGCATACCTGAGGGACCGCCTTTCCCCATACAGTCCCCAAAGAGCACTTCGGTCGGGGTCACAACACCGGCTGGTGACCCCGGGCCCTAAGGAGGCCAGGCTTGTGGCAACAAGGGCAGTCTCAGGGAACTGACACTTGGGGCACATCTTCAGGAAAGTTACAGCCTCTACTCCCATGCACTCCAACAGCACACACACACACACACACTCAAAAATTTAACATGACAAGCGAAGGTAACGAGAAACAGAACTTAAAGAAATCGAAAGTTAGGCCTGAGCTTGACAGGAGACGATTCCATTTGGGAGCCTGTAAAATCTAATGGGACAGAAATTTACTTATTGCACATCTGTACCACTCAAGAACTGCTGGGGGGGGGGGACACACCACCCAAATGTGCTGGCCATCCTTCCCATCCGTATACATGGTCAGTGAAAGCCGCAGCAAGAACAACACAGGTTTGTGTCAGTTGTGATGTAAGTGTCCAGTGCTACATTCAGCTTCCCTGCTTAGGTTTTAACATACAAGTGCCAAAGAAGAAAGAAGAAGAAGAGATTGGATTTATACCCCGCCCTTCACAGCCCAAGGGAGTCTCAGAGCGGCTTACAAACTCCTCTCCCTTCCCCTCCCCACAACAGACACTCTGTGAGGTAGGTGGGGCTGAGAGAGCTCTTGACAGAAACTGTTCTTTTTCCAAGAACAGCTGTGCCAGAACTATGGCTTGCCCAAGGTCATCCAGCAGGTGCTAGTGGAGGAGTGGGGAATCAAACCCGGTTCTCCCAGATTAGAGTCCGCGCACTTAACCACTAGACCAAACAGGCTCTAAGGTGTGGGCCCAAGAGGCTCATCTTTGTTTCAGGGAAGGCATCTCGCGCTGGAGGAAATCACCAGTGGAATAGAACTGCCAGATCGAACCCATTTATCTCCCACTTTTTAAAAATTGTTTTGTACATAACAGGCCGTAAACACACGATCGGGGCAAAACTCCAGCAGCCTAGGAGCTTAAAATCTGAAAAGCAAGTTTCTTGCCCTTCCAGGATTTCAAGGCCCTGGGCAGTGCTTATTCAGATCGGAGATGCGAAAAGGGGGGTGGTGTCGAGCAACTGTTCCCTTCCTGGATCAGGGGGCTTCAGTGCCCTGTGTGCTTCTTTACCTCTCCCATGATGATGAGCAGAAGCACATATACCTGTCTGAAATTGTTTTGTACATAACAGGCCGTAAGCACACGATCGGGGGGCAAAAATCCAGCAGCCTAGGAGCTTAAAATCTGAAAAGCAAGTTTCTTGCCCTTCCAGGATTTCAAGGCCCTGGGCAGTGCTTATTCAGATCGGAGATGCGAAAAGGGGGGTCGTGTCGAGCAACTGTTCCATTCCTGGAGCAGGGGGCTTCAGTGCCCTGCGTGCTTCTTTACCTCTCCCATGGTGATGAGCAGAAGCACATATACCTGTCTGGTGTAGTGGTTAGAGGGCTGAACTAGGGACTGGGAGACATGGGCTCAAATCCTCGGTCTGCTATAGAAGTCTGCTGGGTGACCTCGGGCTGGTCACGCACTTGCATCCTAACCTATCTCACAGAATAAAATAGAGGGGAAGGATGTGATCTGCTTTGGGTTTCCACTGGGGAGAATGGCAGGATATAAATGTAATAAACAAAAAAAAGTAAAATAGAGACAAGATTCACAAACAATTCAGGTTTTTCCCCATTGTTGTTGTTGTTTTAAAGCAGCCATCCCCCAGGGACCTTGTTCCAATCCCTGGTAATTGGGGATACACTGCCCCTGAGCACAGAGGCTCTATCCAACTCTGTTGTGGCTTCTCACTGAGTTCGTCTAATCCTCATTCCAAAACCATCTAAACTAGCAGCGAACTCAAGCGGAGCTGAGAGCCCGGTGGGCCCATTCTCCAGTCAGCCAGTGTCCTTCGGACATAATTTTAAACAGACCAGCCACAACCCAACAAAGAGTTGTGTGTGGGGGTCCCACAAGAGAAGAGAAGAGAGAAGAGATTGGATTTCTACCCCGCCCTTCACTACCCGAAGGAGTCTCAGAGCGGCTTACAATCTCCTTCCCCTCCTCACAACAGACACCCTGTGAGGCAGGTGGGGCTGAGAGACCTCTCTCCAGAAATGCTCCTGAGAGAAGAGCTCTGAAAGAACTTGTGACTGACCCAAGGTCGCACCAGCAGCTGCATGTGGAGGAGTGGGGAATCGAACCCAGTTCTCCCATATTTGAGTCTGCACACTTAACTACTACACCAAACTGACACATAGGCATAGTAGGTCTATGGGGGGGGAGGGCCCTGCCACCCTGGCTTGCCCAGATCTAACGCTGCCCCCTTACAAGAGGGAGGGAAGAAGAAAGCGCCTGCCCAACCCACGGTGAACAAGGGCTGAATGTTACCTTACCCCATGCTGGGTGGGACTGGAGAGGCCCAAGTGGAGAGCGAGGCCCTCAGTGCACCTGGAAAGGTCCCAGTGGCCAGTCCACCCCTCCACGTAACCCGTCCAAGTGGTACTAGATGATTTTTCTCTGTCCGTCACATACAAGCATTTTTGTAGAACAGGCAGCCTCCATAGCGTGTTTCCGTCTGTGCCCTCTGTATGCTTTTGTTTCAGCTTTTCCATGTGTTTTGTGTGTGAGAGAGAGAGAGAGGCACAACACAAAAGCGTCTGTTCCGCAAGGCTTTTTCGCCTCTCTGCCAGAATTCATTTTCCATCTTATAATGGAAGCTTTAATTGGCTGGTTGCACCGATTAATTGTTCAAAGCTCACGCCCTTTGGTTGCGAGAAAAGAGGTTGGATGTTCTCTGGCTTGTGGGTGCCTTCGGGGACAGAGCGTGAACAGCGGTTTTGTGTTTTTGTTTCAGCTGCTTTGCTAATGTGATGTTTGAGGACACGAAACTGCCTTTCCACTGAGCCGGTTCGCCTAGCTCAGTACTGTCCACCCTGACTAGCGGCGGCTCTCCAGGGTGGCAGCAGAGGTCATTTCGGGGGGGATCGCAGTTCCCCCGGGTGAGGTACGGGGGGCGGGGCACATGACGAAGCCACGCCCCCTGCTTCCGGCCCTCATTCAGCCAGGAGGAGGCAGGACAAGAGGGAGGGTAAGTTGCTTCCTCCCTGCCTCTCCCCACCCCTGCCTGCCTGGGGCCAGGGAGGGCCTTTGCGGGGCTTCCTCGCACTCCCGCCGGCCTTGCAGGTCCACCGCCGGGCCCTTCATGGGGCTCGGCAGTGGAGCTGCAAGGCCGCCAGCGGCGGCCGGGACCGTTGGGGGCGGGGTGTGTGGCCTTATGACACACTTCCGGTGATGTCAGGGGGTGTGGCATATGCTAATGAGTTATGCTAATGAGTTCCCCTAGCTCTTTTTCTACGAAACGACCCCTGGGTGGCAGGTAGAGAATGGTCTATCCCCGCACCCTTGACACGGGGGGGTACCCTTTTGTTGTTGGAGATGCCGGGGACTGGAGCTGGGATGTTTTGTACGCAAAGCAGGTGTTGCATCCCCGTGGCATGACCTTTCCAGCTGAAAGCAGAGGCTTTCCGGTTCTTGATTCCATGCTGCCTACTGAGCCAGACCTCTGGTTTTCCATTCTCAGTGTGGTGAATTCTGAGAGCCTTTATGACAGAAGATGCCCATCTCGCATTTAGCAGAGAGACCACGTACTGTTCCTGAGTTGCGTTTTCTCCCCTCTTTCTCTCCAGTCCATCGACCCTGGTCAGCAGTTCACGTGGGAGCACTCCAACCTGGAGGTGAACAAACCCAAAAACCGGTACGCCAATGTGATCGCCTACGACCATTCCCGGATCATTCTGCTTCCTATCGAAGGTATGGACGGTTTGTGGCTCTTCCTGTATTAAATACTGGGTTCAAGGCGCATTGCAGTGAACAGCTCTACTTTATTAAGTGATTTCAGGAACAAGACTGTCCTCCAGGGTCGCAGCCCTGTTTAAATAGCAGGCAAACACCAAACCCAAACACACCCCACTCCCAACGAAAGGCTATTTACATAACATTACTGCTTGATCGGTGACCTCCAGAGTCCTGGTGCTCTACTGCTCTTGGGCTCCAAGCTCAGCCAGTCTCTGGTAGAACAATCCTGGCACGTTTCAGTCCCAATAAATAACATCCTGGGTGCCCAGCATCCGGCACGGTCCTGCCTGGGTGCGGAAGTGGTGTGGGGAGTTATCACGTGGATGGGATTTTTCAGAATCAGTAATCCTGTGTTCGTCTTTTTGCTCTCGTTCGTTTGGTTGTTTTGAGAGTTGGATGCCCCAATGGCCAGTTGTGTAAGGAAGGCGTAACGCGTCAGCCAGAAAATTCACACAGAGAACCAGAGCTTCATGTGAGCTATTTGGCCCTATTTCCGCAAGGAAGATTATTTTAGCTGACCACTCCTCCACTTGCACCTGCTGGATGACCTTGGGCAAGCTGTAGTTCTGATAAGAGCTGTCCTTGAAAAAGAGCAGTTTCTGTCAAGAGCACTCTCAGCTGTACCTACCTCACAGGGTGTCTGTTGTGGGGAGAGGAAGGGAAAGGAGTTTGTAAGCCGCTCTGAGACACCTTCGGGTAGTGAAGGGTGGGGTATGAATCCAATCTCTTCTTTTTCTTCTTCTTTCTTCTTTGGCACTTGTATGTTAAAACCTAAGCAGGGAAGCTGAATGTAGCACTGGACACTTACATCACAACTGACACAAACCTTTGGGTAGTGAAGGGCAGGGTATAAATCCAATCTCCTCCTCCTCCTCTTCTTCTTCTTCTTCTTCTTCTTCTTCTTCTTCTTCTTCTTCTTCTTCTTCTTCTTCCTCTTCTTCAAAATCCACCCTTCCCAAGGTTCCATCCCTCCAAATCTCCAGGAATTTCCCAAACCAGAGTTGGTAACCCTAGTGGGGCAGGGCAGACGGGCACTGGTCTAGATCAGGTTCTAGCGCCCACATAACCCCAACTCAGATCTCTCTGCTGATGAAGTGAATGGATAGAAGAAGAAGAAGAGATTGGATTTATCCCCTGCCCTTCACTTGGAGTCTCAGAGCGGCTTACAAACTCCTTTCCCTTCCCCTCCCCCACAACAGACACCCTGTGAGGTGGGTGGGGCTGAGAGAGCTCTGACAAAAACTGCTCTTTCAGGAACAGCTGTGCCAGAGGTTGTGACTGACCCAAGGTCACATCAGCAGGTGCAAGTGGAGGAGTGGGGAATCAAACCCGGTTCTCCCAGATTAGAGTCCGCGCACTTAACCACTACACCAGATAGGCGGTGGGAGGGGCGGTAGGAGGGAAACCCTGGTGTGATCCCTTTTGGGAGAACGGGGAAGGGAATGAAAAAGCTTTGAAATTAGCGACCATGACTTGCTTTAATTACGTGGCACGGCTCTGTTGTGTTTGGTCTTTTTTCCCCCCTAATAAAGCATTTCTTTAATTTAAAAGTATGTCAGGTCAACAGCTTCACGCTCAGTCGGTTTTGTGCCTCGAATTAGCAGAAGGCAGAGATCCTCGGCAGGGAGGAGGGAAGAGATTAATGATAAGTCAGATGGCAGGGCCACTCTGCTTGGGGGAGGCACACGTTTACATAGATGTGGTCCAAACAGGGTTGCCAACCTCCTGGAATTACAGTGGATTATACAGAGCAGTTTCCCTGGAGAAAAGGGCAGCTCTGGAACGGGGGATTCTATGGCTTTATTCGCCCTCCGAGGTCCCCAAACCTCACCCTCCGAGGTCCCCACCCCAAATCTTCAGGAATTTCACAGCTTTCAGTTGGCAACCCTATCCAGTACCCAAAAAGCCTGAGGAAATGTGGGATAGCAAGGAAGGAATAGACAAATGCAGGGCTATTTTGGGGCAGGAAGTCCCCAAACCTCACCCTCCGAGGTCCCCACCCCAAATCTTCAGGAATTTCACAGCTTTCAGTTGGCAACCCTATCCAGTACCCAAAAAGCCTGAGGAAATGTGGGATAGCAAGGAAGGAATAATACTAATGCAGGGCTATTTTGGGGCAGGAACCTGGAGAGCGACACCCCCCCACGACTCTGAGGCGGGCGGGCCAGGGGGGGTCCTGGAAGGATCGGGGAGGCATTTTAATGCCTCCTCGTGCCTTCCCCGGCCTGTCCAAGGGCTGGCTTGCCCAGGCTCCCTGCAGCACGGGGGTGTGGCCTAATATGCTAATGAGCTGTGCTGTCGGGGGTGTGGCTTAATATGCTAATGTGTTTCTGCTGTTGGTTGTGGCCTATTATGCTAATGAGTCCCTGCTGGGCTTTTTCTACAAAAAAAAAGCCCTGCACTAATGTATTGTGGCTTTGATTAATTCCCTGTAACAACGGCCCGCGCCTCTCTGCAAATATATCTGTCCTCCTTGAGGAAAGGGCATTGTTTGACTGTGATTGACTGCAATTGAGAGGAAAAGGAAGGGGCATTGTTTTGCATGTGATTGAGTGCCTGGGTGCATTTGAATAGCTGCTGCCAGCACTCTGCTGGGGGAGGCCTCTATTTAAGGAAACACCTGGCCAGAGGCAGAGGAGACCCAGCTGAGCTCTGAGCAGGAGCAGGAGCAGGAGACAGAGGGGTGAGTGGTTTTTTATTTGCTTTCAGCGGAGAGGATCCAGCTGAGGATTTTGGTGGGAGAACTGGTCTGGGAGTGTGTGGAAGCGCTTGGAGTTTTTGCAGATTCCTGGCTGCTTGAGAGAGGAAAGGGCATTGTTTGACTGTGATTGACTGCAATTGAGAGGAAAAGGAAGGGGCATTGTTTTGCATGTGATTGAGTGCCTGGGTGCATTTGAATAGCTGCTGCCAGCACTCTGCTGGGGGAGGCCTCTATTTAAGGAAACACCTGGCCAGAGGCAGAGGAGACCCAGCTGAGCTCTGAGCAGGAGCAGGAGCAGGAGACAGAGGGGTGAGTGGTTTTTTATTTGCTTTCAGCGGAGAGGATCCAGCTGAGGATTTTGGTGGGAGAACTGGTCTGGGAGTGTGTGGAAGCGCTTGGAGTTTTTGCAGATTCCTGGCTGCTTGAGAGAGGAAAGGGCATTGTTTGACTGTGATTGACTGCAATTGAGAGGAAAAGGAAGGGGCATTGTTTTGCATGTGATTGAGTGCCTGGGTGCATTTGAATAGCTGCTGCCAGCACTCTGCTGGGGGAGGCCTCTATTTAAGGAAACACCTGGCCAGAGGCAGAGGAGACCCAGCTGAGCTCTGAGCAGGAGCAGGAGCAGGAGACAGAGGGGTGAGTGGTTTTTTATTTGCTTTCAGCGGAGAGGATCCAGCTGAGGATTTTGGTGGGAGAACTGGTCTGGGAGTGTGTGGAAGCGCTTGGAGTTTTTGCAGATTCCTGGCTGCTTGAGAGAGGAAAGGGCATTGTTTGACTGTGATTGACTGCAATTGAGAGGAAAAGGAAGGGGCATTGTTTTGCATGTGATTGAGTGCCTGGGTGCATTTGAATAGCTGCTGCCAGCACTCTGCTGGGGGAGGCCTCTATTTAAGGAAGCACCTTGCCAGAGGCACGAGCCTCTGGCACGAGCCGAAGGGCGAGCTAAAGGGCTCTTTGCCCGTGGCTCTTAGCCCAGGGACTCTTGGACTAGGGGCTCTGTGAGACGCCCAAGAAGAGGCAGAAAGTGAAAACCCTAGGCTCCTTGTTTTCCCCATAAAGTAATTTGACTTTGACAAGAAAAAAACACATAAATACAAAGGGATTTAAAAGGGGGATTACATTTACTTATTTTAAAAGAATTATGAAGCCAGAATGCCAGCAGGGGGTTGGGGGCTATCCAGTGTTTTGCACAGAGTGTCACATGTATGACTATCTGCCCACTGGGCAGAAGTCTTGGGTGTGTGCTCGGTGCAAGGAGCTCCTGGTTCTCAGGGAACGTGTGTGCTCCCTTGAGGCCAAGGTGGCTGACCTGGAGAAGCAGAGACAGTCAGCTAGGCGCACAGAAAAGACTCTCGGGGACTTGTTAGCTACGTCCCACTCTGGATCTGGCAGCCCCGCTGCTGTCAGGGAGCATGAGGGTCTAGGGGAAACAGGGCACCGTGCTGAGGATAAGGGGAATGTGCCCTCAGAAGGGACCTCTTCCCCAGCTGGTGAGCGGTTATCCTTTTGCACCAAGGAACCATCCCTGGGCAGGGTGGGAGGGGGGCTCTTGGTAGTGGGTGATTCGATCCTTAGGCAGGTAGACAGCTGGGTGGCGAACCCGCGTACTGACCGTATGGTGACTTGCCTGCCTGGTGCAAAGGTAGCGGACATTACGCGTGTTTTAGATAGGCTGGTAGATAGTGCTGGGGAGGAGCCAGTGGTCGTGGTGCATGTCGGCACCAACGATGTGGGGAAATGCAGTCGTGAGGTCCTGGAGGAGAAATTTAGGCTGCTGGGCAGGAAACTCAAGGCCAGGACCTCCAAGGTAGCCTTCTCAGAAGTGCTACCTGTTCCACGCGCAGGGCCGGAGAGACAGGCACAGATCAGGAGTCTCAATGCGTGGATGAGACGATGGTGTAGAGGGGAAGGGTTCAGGTTTGTTAGGCACTGGGATTCTTTTTGGAACAAGAGGGAGCTGTACAGGCGAGACGGTCTCCACTTGTCCCGAGAAGGAACCAGGCTGCTGGCGCTTAAAATCAAAAAGGTGGCAGAGCAGTTTTTAAACTGAATATTGGGGGAAAGCCGACAGGAGATGAAAAGTCTCTGGTTCGGGTTGGCTCATCTCAGAGAGATGAGGGGGTACCTGTTGCTTTTCTACAGGGAGGTGGATTGAAATTGTCCACTGAGACCATGGCTAGTGACATGGACTGCCTGACAAGGTCTCGAGATTGCAAGAGGAAGGTGGCAGGCTTAACCAGTATGGGAAATTACAGCTGTTTCTATACAAATGCTCGAAGTGTCCGAGGTAAAATCGGGGAGTTGGAGTGCTTGGTGTCAGAGGGAAAAATAGACATTGTGGGTATTTCAGAAACTTGGTGGGATGAGGAAAATCAGTGGGATACGGTGATTCCCGGTTATATATTATATCGGAAGGATAGGGGGGGAAGGGTTGGAGGTGGGGTGGCTCTGTATGTCAGAGAGGGTATAAAGTCCAGAAAGATCGAGAGGCTAAGAGAATTGGATTCGCTTCTTGAAGTTCTGTGGGTTGAAATAGGGGGGCCAAAAGGAAACTTAACACTGGGAGTTTGTTATCGCCCACCGGATCAAAAGATAGAGGAGGATTATAAAATGATGAATGAATTAAAGATAGCAGCTAGACAAAAACACTGTGTCGTAATAGGTGATTTTAACTACCCACACATTGATTGGGTCAATATGTGTTCTAGTCGAGAGAAAGAGATTGAGTTTCTAGACACTCTAAATGACTGTGCTATGGAGCAGATGGTCATGGAACCTACCAGGGGAGAGGCGATCCTTGATTTGGTCCTAAGTAACACTCAAGACCTGGTGAGAGATGTAAAAGTGATTGCACCGCTTGGGAACAGTGATCATAATGTTGTTGAGTTCAACATTTGTACAAATAGGGAATTGGCCAAAAAGACTCACACAACCACTTTTAACTTTAAAAGGGGTAATTTTTCTGATATGAGGGGACATGTGGGGAGGAAACTGAAGGGAAAAGTAGAAAGGGTCAAAACCATTGGGGAAGCTTGGAAACTGTTTAAAACTACAATTCTAGAAGCTCAAATAAAATATATTCCGCAGGTTAGGAAAGGCACAAACAGGTATAAGAAAAAGCCTACATGGTTAACAAACAAAGTAATGGAAGCTGTAAAAGGTAAAAAGGATTCCTTTAAGCGGTGGAAAGCTAGTCACAGTGAGGCTGATAAAACAGAACACAGGCTATGGCAAATAAAATGCAAGTCTGTGGTCAGGCATGCAAAAAGGGAATATGAGGAGCATATAGCAAAAAATGTAAAGACCAACAATAAAACTTTCTTCAAATACATTAGAAACAGGAAACCAGCCAGGGAGGCAGTGGGGCCCTTGGATGACCAAGGGGTAAAAGGAGTACTGAAGGATGATAGGGAAATGGCTGAGAAGCTAAATGCATTTTTTGCCTCCGTCTTCACTGTGGAAGATGAGAGGTGCTTGCCCACTCCAGAGCCGCTGAGTTCGGGAGGGGTGTTGAAAGACCTGAGTCAGATTGAGGTGACGAGAGAGGAGGTCCTAAAACTGATAAACAACTTAAAAACTGATAAATCACCAGGCCCAGATGGCATACATCCAAGAGTTCTGAAAGAACTCAATTGTGAACTTGTGGATCTCCTGACAAAAATATGTAATCTCTCCTTAAAATCAGCCTCCATTCCTGAGGACTGGAAGGTAGCTAATGTCACTCCCATCTTTAAAAAGGGTTCCAGAGGAGATCCGGGAAATTACAGGCCTGTCAGTCTGACGTCGATACCGGGTAAATTGGTGGAAACCATTATTAAGGAAAGAATTAGTAGGCACATAGATGAACAAAACCTATTGAGGCAGACTCAACATGGGTTCTGTAAGGGAAGATCTTGTCTCACTAACCTGTTAGTGTTCTTTGAGGGGGTGAACAAACATGTGGACAAGGGGGATCCAATAGATATTGTTTACCTTGACTTCCAGAAAGCTTTTGATAAAGTTCCTCATCAAAGGCTCCTAAGCAAGCTCAAAAATCATGGGATAAAAGGACAAGTCCTTTTATGGATCAAAAACTGGCTAATTAATAGAAAACAGAGAGTGAGTATAAATGGGCAGTTCTCCCAGTGGAGGGGTGTAAGCAGTGGGGTACCACAGGGATCAGTACTTGGTCCACTGCTTTTTAACTTGTTCATTAATGATTTGGAGATGGGAGTAAGCAGTGAAGTGGCTAAATTTGCGGATGATACAAAGTTGTTCGGGGTGGTGAAAACCAGTGAGGATTGTGAGGCACTCCAAAGGGATCTGTCAAAGTTGGGCGAGTGGGCGTCAACATGGCAAATGGGGTTCAATGTGGCCAAGTGCAAGGTGATGCACATTGGAGCCAAAAATCCTAAATATAAATACACATTGATGGGGTCTGAACTGGCAGAGACTGATCAAGAGAGAGATCTTGGAGTTGTAGTAGATAACTCACTGAAAATGTCGAGACAGTGTGTGACTGCAATAAAGAAGGCCAATGCTATGCTGGGGATTATTAGGAAGGGTATTGTAAACAGATCAGCCAATATCATAATGCCGCTATATAAATCAATGGTGCGACCTCATTTGGAATACTGTGTGCAGTTCTGGTCACCACACCTTAAAAAGGATATTATAGCTTTGGAAAAAGTGCAGAAAAGGGCAACTCGAATGATAAAGGGGTTGGAACACTTTCCCTATGAGGAACGGTTAAGGCGCTTAGGGCTCTTTAGCTTGGAGAAACGACGACTGAGGGGTGACAAGATTGAGGTTTATAAGATTATGTATGGGAAAGAGCAGGTAGAGAAAGAGGTACTTTTCTCCCTTTCTCACAATACAAGAACTCGTGGGCACTCCATGAAATTGCTGAGCGGTCGGGTTAGAACGGATAAAAGGAAGTACTTCTTCACCCAAAGAGTGATTAACACATGGAATTCACTGCCACAGGAGGTGGTGGCGGCTACAAGGGAATTAGATAAGCATATGGAGCAGAGGTCCATCAGTGGCTATTAGCCACAAGGTATAGATAGGGGCTCTGGGGCAAGTGATGCTCGGTCTTCTTGGTGCTTGGGGGGGGGGTCAACAGTGGGAGGGCTTCTAATGTCCTGGCCCCACTGGTGGACCTCCTGATGGCACCTGGTATTTCTGGCCAGTGTGTGACACAGAGTGTTGGACTGGATGGGCCTTTGGCCTGATCCAACATTGGCGTCTTTTATGTTCTTATGTTGCCTCCTCTTGCAGAATCTGGCTCAGCTGGCTTCTGTGAGCCATTTGGAGGGGTTTGCTCTGCACACCCTGGCCTCTGCAAACGGATTGCATCAGCTGCCGTGTTTTTGTTCTTTTGTGACGTCTTCTGTTGCTGCTTCCCACAGAACGGCTCCAGTGAGAAACGCGAGGTCCGCCAGTTCCAGTTCACGGCCTGGCCGGATCACGGCGTCCCCGAGTATCCAACCCCATTCCTGGCCTTCCTCAGAAGAGTGAAAACCTGCAATCCGCCTGATGCCGGCCCAATCGTGGTGCACTGCAGGTACCAGGCTTGTGTCCATTTCAGACTCCAGTCTTGCAGGACGGGACCCCCATGTAATAGGCTGTGAGCTAGCCCCTAGGGTTCCTGTGGTTCTGGTTCGTGGAGGAAGGGACCAATGAGACTGAGACGGGTTTCCATCTGTACTTGAGGCTGGGCGGGGTCAGGTTTTGTCTAGCAGGGCAACACTTCTGAGATCACACACACACACACAAACACACACTTAGAAGCAGCCCAATTCTCTCCCAAAGATGCACCAGAACTTTCACTAACTGGGGGAAGGAGGAGGGCAGTGTTCCTTCTAAGCTGAGTTAGTGTGAGCTAGTTCACAGTTTTTTAGCCTCCAGCTCACAGATTTTCATCTTAGCTCAGGAAGGAGGGCTCCGGAGCAAACTAATTGATGCAGTAGCCAAATCGCTCGCTCACAACTTTAATGCCCGTAGCTCACAAAGTAGAATTTTTGCTCACAAGACTCTGCCGCTTAGAGAGAACATTGACAGAGGGGGGAAAGGGGGCATTCATCTTCGTTTCCCCTTCTTTCATCCCATCTGTTTGCAATAAACATCCTGGTTCCTTATTAAAAGCTTGTATGGCCAACTTCACAAAAACTGTAGTTTTCACTGCAGAAGTTTTCTTCACACAGGATAAAGAAATACACAGTTGCATGTTAGAATAAACTCCTCAGTAACAGAGGAAATGTGCTACTGGCTGGTCAAAGTAACTTCTTCTTAACGTTGTGATATATTATTAATTAGAATGTGGTTGCTATTGTTGTCAATAATGTCAACAACAATAGCTATATAGAAGGAGACCCACAAGGACTTGCGGAGAAGTTCTTGTGGGTCTCCTTCTATATAACTATATAACTATTTTCCTACTTTCCCTTTCCCCTCTGCCTCCTCCCAGTGATGGCCACCCTGGCTTTTCGTGCACCATTTCGGTTGCTACAAAAACCTAAAAGTCAGCCCCATACACCAAGGGGCAAGGGACTGCAGATCCTCCACATGTGGGGATGTTGCAGTTAAATTTTAGGTGGGTTTTAATGGATTCATCAGGCTTGAAAAATGATTCAAAATATTTAAATAAAGGTAATAAAAATAAATAAATAAATTAGCACTGTAGCTGATCACACTGGGATCACGTCTGGGCTGTTCGTTAATTGGGCTCTTTTTGTAGCAGGAACTCCTTTGCATATTAGGCAACACACCCCTAACGTAGCCAATCCTCCAAGAGCTTACAGTAGCCCCTGTAAGAAAAGCTCTGTAAGTTCTTGGAGGATTGGCTACATTAGGGGTGTGTCGCCTAATATGCAAAGGAGTTCCTGTTACAAAAAGAGTCCTCTATAGCATTTTCAGCATTCAGAGTTACCTTGTGATTCTTTCAACAGCCTTGTAAGGTCGGCCAATATTGTGCATGTGCTGAGTCACTTCTGACCGATGATGCCCCTATGAATTAATGACCTCCAAAACGTCAAGTGCGTAGGTTTCCATTCACGATCAATACAGCAACACACTTGCCAGGTGTGTTCATGTGTGACTTGCACAGACTGCGCAAGAGCGATAACCATCCACTGGAGGCAAACGTCCGTGCTGTCAGCAGGTCCTCAAACACAACTTCAGTTTACAGCCCATAAGAGGCTGGATGGAAGCTGAGGCCCTACACAGGAAATGCTCACATCACTCTTTGCTGTGCAGACACCAGGACTGGGGTGGATTTGGGGCTGATTTTATGCCCGGAAGCAGGGGTCATTTTGTAGAAAAAGAGGTGCAGGAGCTCATTAGCATAACTCATTTGCATATGCCACACCCCCTGACATCACTGGAAGTGTGTCAGAAGGCAACACCCACCGCTCAGACTCCACTGGACTGTTTTGGATTGCTAGCTATTGGGGGGTGGGGGACGCGCAGATCTGTCCTCGCAGAGGAGGGAGAGCTTGTGCCTGAATAAAACTTGGTCTTAAAGGTGCCACTGGACTGTTTTGGACCGGGGGGGCCGGGGGGGGCTCTGTAGCTTACCTGGCTGCTTCTTGCTCTGACTGAGGGCTGCTGGGAGCAGGGGGTGGGGCTTGTTGCATGTGCCCACCCCCTGGGCTCTTTACTGCCGGAGCTCTGCTCCTGCAGGAAATGACCCCTGCCCGGAAGTATGTTGTTTTGATTCCCAGGACTCGTGTCCTTGTAACAAGACAATGTGGTTGTGCGGCTGAGGTGAGACTTGAGCCAGAGGAAAATCCCCAGACCGCAGATCACATTATATTTGCCCCATCCGCTTAAATTCATGTGCAGCATCTGGCCTGAGCTTTAACACACACCTGTCCACAGTACAGTGATGGTAACCCTGGCCGACTTTACAGTGCAGTTGTGAGGGCTGCTCTGAAGTGCTTTGAGCACTGAAAGTGCTGCATAGACACTGAGGTATTCTGGTTATCACGTTGTTTTCTAATGATGGTTTATGAAGACAATATCGGGAGAAAATATACATCGATTCCGGAGGAGGTGGAAAATGCCGTTTCCACAGGTTCTCCCTCTGGTGTCATGTTGTTTTTCTCTCTGTGGTACTCAGAAAAGCTTGCAAGATAACCAGGAAGAGATAAGGAAAAGAAACAGAAGGTTAAAACAGACTTCGAGAGAGTTGCTCGTATAGGGCAGGGAAAGTGCAATAGCCTACGCTTGCATGGGTGTGCATGAGGATAGGTTATGATCCGGCAGAATCTTATAATAGTTTAAAGAGTGGGTTGCCCCTTTTTGAGAGAGCTTCCCCTCCCCCCCCCAAGTCCGGATAGGTGATGGTCTCTAACTTAATTTAAAGTCCAAGAAGAAACTGTGTCTCTCAGGCTTGATTCAGATTAATTTATTCATTTCGTTGGGCTTCTAGCCCTCCTTCCCCTGTGCATGGGGCTCAGGGTGGGTTACAGCATTCTTAAAAACATGCAAAGCTTTAAAAAGAAAATTCAGTCATGAAGCAGATACGAAACGGTATTACTATATAAAAACCTCAAGGGGCGTCAGCAAGACAATTTGCAGAATTGGATGACGTTCCCATGGCTACATAGCTGCAGATCTAAACAGTGCAGGGGTAGGATGGATCGAAACGCTGCCCGACAGAGCGGAGCTAAACAGACTGAGCAGAGCAAAGCAGGGGAGCCCATGGTAGTTGGATTGTCGCCTCCTCGACCATAGGCCTGGCGGAACACCTCCGTTTTACAGGCCCTGAGAAACTGCATTAGATCCCGCAAGGCCCGACTCTCACTAGGGCAGAGGTCATTTCGGGCACACGATGAAGCCCCGCCCCCTGCTTCCGGCCGCCCCGCTTCCAGCCCTCATTCAGCCAGGAGGAGGCAGGAGAAGAGGGAGGGTAAGTTGCTTCCTCCCCGCCTCTCCCAACCCCTGCCTGCCTGAGGCCAGGGAGGGCCTTGGCGGGGCTTCCTCGCACTCCCGCCAGCCTTGCAGGTCCACCGCCGGGCCCCTGATGTCAGGGGGTGTGGCATATGCTAATGAGTTATGCTAATGAGTTCCCCTAGCTCTTTTTCTACGAAATGACCCCTGCACTAGGGAGAGTGTTCGACCAGGTTCCGGCTCCGTTTGAGGCTAGGCGAACGTTTTTGGGGCTGGGGACGACCAGGAGGTGTTGAGCGGAAGAGTGCAAGGCCCTTTGGCAGTACAGAGAAAGAGAGTCCCGTAGATATGTTGGTCCCCGTCCGCATAGGGCTTTAAAGGCCTTGAACCTGATCCGGAATTCAGCTGGGAGCCAGTGCAGCTGACGCAGCACCGGAGCAAGTTTATGTGCTCTCAGAGGTGTCCCTGTGAGGACACACGCCGCCGCATTTCAGACCAGCTGCAGTCTTAAGGGTAGCCCTGCATAAAGCGAGCTACAGTAGTCCAGCCTGGAGGTGACAGTTGCATGGATCACTGCAGCTAGGCCCCGGGGAGGGGGGGAAGGTGGGGGACCGGGTGCTTGCCCCGCCACAGATGGAAAAATGCAGATCTTGCAACTGCTGTGACTTGGGCCTCCGCAGAAAGTGAGGCATCCAAGACCACACCCAGACTCTTTAGCGCTGGCCCAGGTGTCAATAGCACCCCATCCAGAGTTGGGAGCTGGATCCCTGATCCAGTCGCTCCACGACCCAGGTACAAAACCTCCATCTTCATGGGATTCAGTTTCAGTCGGCTCTGCTTTAACTACACAGCCACGGCATTCAAGCCCTCAGCCAAAATGTCCACCAGTTGTCCGTCCATCATCAGATACAGCTGGGTGTCATCAGCATACTGGTGACAACCCAGCCCAAACGTTTGGGCTATCTGGGCAAGGGGGCGCATATAGATATTAAAGAGCATAGAGGAAGGGAAGAAGAAGAGATTGGATTTATACCCCGCCCTTCACTACCCAAAGGAGTCTCAGAGCGGCCTACAAACTCCTTTCCCTTCCCCCTCCCCACAACAGACACCCTGAGAGGTAGGTGGGGCTGAGAGAGCTCTGACAGAAACTGCTCTTTTTCAAGGACAGCTCTGCCAGAACTACGGCTTGCCCAAGGTCATCCAGCCAGGTGCAAGTGGAGGAGTGGGGAATCAAACCCGGTTCTCCCAGATTAGAGTCCGCGCACTTAACCGCTACACCAAATTGGCTCGCCCACTGGGGGATGCTGCATACCAAATGGTAATGCAGCGATGTCTTCTCCCCTTGGTCCCCAACTGTGGAAAAATGAGCCCAGCCACTGTCAAGCCATCCCATGTATTCCCACGTATCCCCCATGTCGGTAAGGCAGGTGGGTCCTCATGGCATTATTGACCATGTTGAATGCTGCTGTTAGGTCTAATAATAACAGCAGCACTGAGCCACCCCGATCCAGATGTCACCGAAGATCGTCCATGAGGGCGACCAGCACCGTCTCCATCCCATAGCCGGCGCAAAAGCTGGACTGAAATTGGGTCCAGGAGAGAGGAGCATCCCAGGAAACCCTGGAGCTGTCCAGCTACCACTCTCTCACCTACCTTCCCCTGAAAACAGAAGATTTGGAACTGGGTGGTAGTTGGCTGACTCCAAAGGGTCTAGAGATGGTTTGATTTTATTTACTTTCATATATAGTCCAACTGGGACTCAAGGCAGATTACATGCACGGTAGAACGATTTAGTCAATCAACAAGCCAATTACAAAGTGTGATAACGTTTGAATGACAACAATATTTGCGTATAACAGCAAGGATTCCTAGTTAAGCAAAATAATATAGCGGATCAAGGCGGCTGTCTGTTGCAGGAGAAAAGAGCAAGAGAGTCCAGGAGCACCTTCAAGACTGACAACATTTGTGGCAGGGTTGGAGCTTTCCTGAGTCACTGCTCACCTGAAGAAGTATCTGAAGAAGTCAGCAGTGACTCCTGAAAGCTCATCCCCTGTCACAAATTTTGTTAGTCTCTAAGGTGCTCCTATCTGGAGCTGCAGTGGCTCAAGTGGTTAAGACGCTGAACTGCAGGCTGTCGAAGGTCAGTAGTTCAGCAGTTCGAGACCCGAGTGTGCCGCATGACGGAGTGAGCTCCCGTCTCTAGTTCCTGCCAACCTAGCAGTTTGAAAGCAAGAAATTGCAAGTAGATAAATAGGTACCACTTCGGTGGGAGGGTAACAGCGTTCCGTGCGCCTTGGTGTTTAGTCATGCCAGCCACATGACCACGGAAACGTCTTCGGACAGCGCTGGCTCTTCGGCTTTGAAACGGAGATCAGCACCGCAACCCTAGAGTCGGACTCGACTGGCTTTCGAGCAAGGGAACCTTTACCTTTAAGGTGCTCCTGGGCTCTTGCTCTTTTAGAATGTAGTGGGGCTGGGATACGAAGAACTGGAAGGAAAAAGACAAACCATCCCTTTTATTCCCCAGGGGGGCAGGGAAGGCACTTATGAATTGGCTAGAGTGACGTCAGGGGTCCTTGCTCATGGCCAAGGGGATTGAAATCCTACTTTTTTGCCTGGAGAAGATGTAGTTTATGCAAGAAGGCAACTTGAAGGCTTCTTCCACGTATGGCAGTTAGCACAGAGCCAGTTTGGTTTGGTGGTTAATTGCGCAAACTCTAACCTGGGAGAACTGGGTTTCATTCCCCACTCCTCCGCTTGCAGCTATTGGATGACCCTGGACAAGCCATAGTTCTATCAGAGCTGTTCTCTCAAGGGCATTTCTGGAAAGAGCTCTCTCAGCCCCACCTACCTCATAGGGTGTCTGTTGTGGGGAGGGGAAGGGAAAGGAGTTTGTAAGACCTCACAGGGTGTCTGTTGTGGGGAGGGGAAGGGAAAGGAGTTTGTAAGCCACTCTGAGACTCAGAGTGAAGGGTGGGGTATAAATCCAATCTCCTCCTCCTCCTCCTCCTCTTCTTCATTTTCTTCAAAAATGGAGGGCCCTTGGCACAGAATGTCAGGTTACGAGGATCCGATCTCTGCCCTCCCGTCTTCTCTTCCCATCACTGCCACCTCCACCACATAGGCACTACATTCCACCTACCAGGAAGACGCCCTTTTGCTTTAGGTGTTACAGAGTCTAATTCACAGATATCAAAGGAGAGGAATTTTAAAAAGCAGAAAAAGAGGGACACCTGGCAGTTTAAGCCAAGGGAGAGAGAAACCCTTTTCATCTATTAAGCTGCAGCAACAGAACACACAGAGGGGGGTCTGGGCGATTTATAAAATATCTTCCCCGCCCCCTCACTCTGCATACAAAAGGTTAAATCCTGCCTGGATGCATGTGTAGAAAAGAACAAGAGTCCAGTAGCGCTGTTCCCCCTAAGCTGAATTAGTTTGAGCTAGCACACAGTTTTTTAGCCTCCAGCTCACACAGTTTTTTTTGTCTCAGCTCAGGAAGGAGGGCTCCAGCGCAAACTAATTGATGCAGCAGCTAAATCGCTCGCTCACAACTTTAATGCCAGCAGCTCACAAAGTAGAATTTTTGCTCACAAGATTCCACAGCTTAGAGAGAGCATTGTCCAGTAGCACCTTAAAGACTAACAAAATTTGTATCCGAAGAAAAGTATCTGAAGGAGTGAGCCTGTGACTCAGGAAACCTCCTGCCCCTGCCACAAATGTGGTTGGTCTTTCAGGTGCTCCTGGACTCTTGCTCTTTTCTACACATGCATGCAGGCAGACAAACACAGCTGCCCCTCTTGATCTACCCAGATGCATTTGCACAGTGATGCGAAAGGGTGCTCTTTCCTTCCTTTTAAACACCTTTCAGTCGCTGACCCCCCAAAAAATAATCAGCGTGACTTAAAAATTCCCTGTACCTTTCCCCCCCTCCAGGTACTTTAGTTAACACCAAGCCCCTTTGTCCAAGAAAGGACTCACCCTCTGAGTCTGAATAGGTACCACTTCGGTGGGAAGGTAACAGCGTTCCGTGCGCCTTGGTGTTTAGTCATGCCGGCAGCTCACAAAGCAGCTCACAGAGTAGAAATTTTTGCTCACAAGACTCCACAGCTTAGAGGGAGCACTGTCCAGTAGCACCTTAAAGACTAACAAAATTTATATCTGAAGAAGTGAGCCAGTGACTCAGGAAACCTCCTGCCCCTGCCACAAATGTGGTTGGTCTTTCAGGTGCTCCTGGACTCTCGCTCCTTTCTCCCGCTACAGACAAACACGGCTGCCCCTCTTGATCTACCCAGATGCATTTGCACAGTGATGCGAAAGGGTGCTCTTTCCTTCCTTTTAAACACCTTTCAGTCGCTGACCCCCCAAAAAATAATCAGCGTGACTTAAAAATTCCCTGTACCTTTCCCCCCCTCCAGGTACTTTAGTTAACACCAAGCCCCTTTGTCCAAGAAAGGACACCTCATCCCACCCTCTGAGTCTGGTTGAGGCCATCAGACACGGAGGAGGAAAAGGTCAGATCGGTGACTGAGGCCACCTTCCAAAGCTTTTGGCAGTGGCGGCGCAAGCAGCGCATTACAGAGCCTCTCCACCTGGAGTCTCTGTGTGTGTGTGTGTGTGTTCTTTCTGCCTGCTCATCAGCAGACCTCGATGGTGCAAAATCCAGTTTCTTGTGAAACGTAAACCCTTGTGACAGTTTGTCAGCACCCATGTCCCTGTGCAGAGTGAAATAAACCCGACAGAGTCCTGCCTCAAGGAGCTTACAATCTAAATTTTGACACTGGTAGGAGGAAATGTTACTTGTGTGGCTGCCAGCCGCAGGCGGTTCCACAAGTGATGACTGTCAGTCCCCCCCCCCTCTGACACACATAGAGTGTCCCCGTAGAACTGCAAGCAGAATTCCTTGAGAGCCAGCGTGGCGTAGTGGTTACAGAATAAACAGATTCGGGCTCAAATGCCCACCTTTTTAGGGCACTCGCTGGTTGACCTCGGGCCAGGGACTTGCAGTTGGACTCTTGCTCTTTTCTACACATGCATGCAGGCAGACAAACACAGCTGCCCCTCTTGATCTACCCAGATGCATTTGCACAGTGATGCGAAAGGGTGCTCTTTCCTTCCTTTTAAACACCTTTCAGTCGCTGACCCCCCAAAAAATAATCAGCGTGACTTAAAAATTCCCTGTACCTTTCCCCCCCTCCAGGTACTTTAGTTAACACCAAGCCCCTTTGTCCAAGAAAGGACTCACCCTCTGAGTCTGGTAGGGCTGTCAGACATGGTGGAGGAAAAGGTCAGATCGGTGACTGAGGGCACCTTCCAAAGCTTTTGGCAATGGCGCACAAGCAGCGCATTACAGAGCCTGTCCACCTGGAGTCCCTGTGTGTGTGTGTGTGTTCTTTCTGCCTGCTCATCAGCAGACCTCGATGGTGCAAAATCCAGTTTCTTGTGAAACGTAAACCCTTGTGACAGTTTGTCAGCACCCATGTCCCTGTGCAGAGTGAAATAAACCCGACAGAGTCCTGCCTCAAGGAGCCTTACAATCTAAATTTTGACACTAGTAGGAGGGAATGTTATTGTGTGGCTTCCAGCCGCAGGCGGTTCCACAAGTTATGACTGTCAGTCCCCCCCCCTCTCACACACACAGAGTGTCCCCGTAGAACTGCAAGCAGAATTCCTTGAGAGCCAGCGTGGCGTAGTGCCCACCTTTTTAGGGCACTCACTGGTTGACCTCGGGCCAGGGACTTGCAGTAAGCCTAACCTACCTTACAGGGTCATTGCGAGAATGGAATGGAAGAAGGGAGGGAGCCACAAAGGTCACCCTGAGCTCCCCCGGAAGAAGGGTGGGATGAAAATATAAGAGACTTCCCACGTCTGTGGTTGGTCACAGTTTTATCTGAATTCAGGCGGGTAGCCGTGTTGGTCTGATGCAGCGGAACAAAGTTGGAGTCCAGTGGCACCTTTAAGACCAACAACGTTGTATTCTGGGTATAAGCTTTCGTGTGCATGCACACAGTGCTTGCACATGAAAGCTTATACATTTTGTAGAAAAAGAGGTGCAGAAGCTCATTAGCATAACTTATTAGCGTAACTTATTTGCATATGCCACACCCCCTGACATCACCAGAAGTGTGTCAGAAGGCAACACCCACCGCTCAGGCTCCACTGGACTCTTTTGGATTGCTAGCTATGGGGGGGGGGGAATGTGCAGATCTGCCCTCACAGAGAAGGGAGAGCTTGTACCTGAAGGCGGACCGGGGGGGGGGCTCTGCAACTCACCTGGCTGCTTCTTGCTCTGACTGAGGGCTCCTGGGAGCAGGGGGCGGGGCTTGTTGCATGTACCCGCCCCCTGGGCTCCTTACTGCCGGAGCTCCTCTCCTGTGCACTCCCGCAGGAAATGACCCCTGGCTTATACCCAGAATTAAGCTCTGTTGGTTTTAAAGGTGCCACTGGACTCAAACCTTGTATAGCTGGAGTGTGCAGTTCATGTTTTCTAACTTTAGTTTGGGGGGCGGGAGGGCAGACCCAGCAGGAAACGCCCCCCCCAAAAAAAATTCCGATGCATGCTTTCTAGAGTGAAAAAGAGCTGTCTTTTTATCGTTGCTGTGCTTGCAGTGCGGGGGTTGGCCGAACGGGCTGTTTCATTGTGATCGATGCCATGCTGGAGAGGATAAAGCATGAAAAGACAGTGGACATTTACGGGCACGTGACGCTCATGCGGTCACAGAGGAACTACATGGTGCAGACGGAGGACCAGTACAGCTTCATACATGACTCCTTGCTAGAAGCCGTCGCCTGTGGAAACACAGAGGTGCCCGCTCGGAATCTGTACACCTACATCCAAAAGTTGGCGCAGATCGAAGTTGGGGAGCACGTCACGGGCATGGAACTGGAGTTCAAGGTAGGCTGCCAATGCCGTGTCCTTCTCTCCCCCAGAGAAGTTACCCCGTGTGGAGATCCTTAGAAGACCCAGTTCGGTGTAGAGGTTAGGAGCACGGATTCTAATCTGGGAGAACCGGGTTTGATTCCCCACTCCCCCACATGCAGCTGCTGGTGTGACCTTGGGTCAGTCACAAGTTCTTTCAGAGCTGTTCTCTCAAGAGCAGTCCTCAAAAGAGCTCTCTCAGCCCCACCTACCTCACAGGGTGTCTGCAGTGGGGAGGGAAAGGGAAAGAAGTTGTAAGCTGCTCTGAGACTCCGAGTGAAGGGTAGGGTATAAATCCAATCTCTTCTCTTCTTCTTTTCTTTTTGTCATTGTCTGTGAGGCTGAGAGAACAGTGCAAACAGGGCCGGCCCCAGGTTTTTTTGCGCACTAGGCGAGGCTAAGTTGTGGCGCCACACACACCCCTCACCGCAGTCGCAGATCCTCCGAGGGTCCAGTCCCTAAGGTGGGTAGAGGGCAGGGTACGGAGCCTGGGGGACTCGGAGTGGGAACAGTTGCCTCCCCAAAGAGAGCAGCGCTCTGGAAGCAGCCCCGCCCAGCTTAGAGGGAACACTGGTCTGCAGTGGGAAGGGAAAGGGAAAGAAGTTGTAAGCTGCTCTGAGACTCTGAGTGAAGGATAGGGTATAAATCCAATCTCTTCTCTTCTTCTTTTCTTTTTGTCATTGTCTGTGGGGCTGAGAGAACAGTGTGCTCCGCCGAGTCTGAAGCCAGCCAGAGCAAGCCTCCTCCCCCCGGTGTCTTCTTGGCTTCACCCTCTCCGCCCGACGCTCCTGCTCGCCGCCAGCCGCTCCCTTCCTTTGGGTGGCCTGCCACGCAACCGGGCACTGAGCAGAGCCCGCGGCTTCCCCATCACCGCAGTCGGCGCTCCCTCTTGGGGGGTCACTCGGATCACGGGCTGGCGCCCTCGTTGTCGGGCCGGCACCCTAGGCAAGGGTCTAGAATTTGACAATGACGGGCCGGCCCTGAGTGCAAAGGCACAGGACTGGGGCTAAAGAGAGCCCCAAAAGTGGGTGGGTACATTTAGGCTGTGATCACACATGCTAAATAGTCCACTTTCAATCCACTTCCAATGCACTTTTCAACTGGATTTTTACTGTGTGAACTGGCAAGATCCCATTCAAAAGTGCACTGAAAAGTGCACTGAAAAGTGGATTATTTAGTGCGTGTGATCGCAGCCTTAGGATATCTTTGTGTGGGTGTTTTTTGCTGGCACACAGGGTTTCCAATAGAATATAAAAAACAGAGCCCCTGAAGTGCAGTTTTTAGACTATCAGACTAGGATCTGTGTGATGCGGGTTCGAATCCCCTCTCCGCCGCGAAGCTTGCTTTGTGGCCTTGGGCCAGTCTGTTTCTCTTATCTCCACCTGCCTCGCGAGGCAGTGAGGATACAGTGGGAAAGAGAGAGCCGTTACGATCCCTGGAGAAAGGGTGGAATAAATACGTTTATCGATTTAGAGTATTTTTATTCTCCTTTTCTGAAAGGTGGCTAGTGAAATACAAGCGCTGTTAAAAAAAACAACAACAAGAAACGGGGACAGGAGGAAATCAGCAATAAAATGAGCCACATTAAAGCTTCAGCCTCTAAAATAAAGCCACAAGGAGGATGTAAAGTAGCAAAGTTACTAAACTATATGCACCCAAATACAGAGTTTATTCCAAGTCCCTCCCCCCAAGGAGGCAGGAATGGCCCATCCCACCCCCCCATGAACTTGGAGCTTTTTCTCTGGGCAGGGGACGGATATTCTAGTTCTTTTTGTCTTCTTCTCATCTTTTTTTCTTTACTAAGCAGCGGCTTAGGCTCCTTCGTAAATCCCAGCCGGGCAAAAAATTAATTCCCACCGCACAAAACCGGTCCAAACGCCTTCTGGAATAAAAACATCTTTACGAGGCATCAGAAGGGCAGGAGGGGGAGGGGGGCCAGGTGAGCTTCCTGGGGGAAGACGTCTGAGGCCCTGAACATCAACAGATTCTGGGGGAGGGATACCAGACAGCCTCTTTCTCTCACAGCATTGTGTCAGTTTGGTCCCTGTAAGCAAGAGGCTTCTATTAATCGTAGGGTTCTCACCCCATGGGGGCATACACAGCTGTCAGTAGGAAAACATAGACTCCAAAGCATTACACATTGGGCCCAATCCATCACTGTTCAGGGCCTGCGACGTCTTCCAGTCACGTGGGTGAGATTGGGTCTTGATGCTCTGGCCATTTAGGGCTTTAAAGGCTGTGGTGTTGTGTCGTGGTTTGTGTAGTGTAGAGCCAATTTGGTGTAGTGGTTAAGTGCGCGGACTCTAATCTGGGACAACCGGGTTTGATTCCCCACTCCTCCACTTGCAGCTGCTGGATGACCTTGGGCAAGCCATAGTTCTGATAAGAGCTGTTCTCTCAAGGACAGTTCTGGAAAGAGCTCTCTCAGCCCCACCACCCTCACAGGGTGTCTGTTGTGGGGAGGGGAAGGGAAAGGAGTTTGTAAGCCGCTCTGAGACTCCTTTGGGTAGTGAAGGGCAGGGTATAAATCCAATCTCTTCTTCTTCATCTTCTTCTCTTCTTCTTCTTCCACCAAGGTTCAAATCCCTCCTCACTGGGTGACTTCAGACCAATCACACAAACACAAAATCTCTCTCTTTCTCTCTAGCCTACCATATACAGTTGTTGTGAGGGGGGAAAGGGGGGGCATATACAGCTCTTGAAAAGTGAAATGTGAAGTTCCACTTGAGTTTGCAACCCGCCTTAAATTATACAATTAAATTATACAAGTTAAGCTCACCTGCATATTTTAGTTTGCATGATTTTGCTAGCCCTAGGAAGGAGCAGGAAGCCCTTCAGGAAGCAGAGGAACCTCACCCTGGAATTGCTAAAATTTTATTGTACCACTCTTTTGGCTTGAGAGATTCAACTTTTAAAGCCATGCATGGATTGAGACCGGGATGTTTTCTCTCATCTGTTCCTGTCCAGGAATTAAGAGGGCAGCGAGAGGCCCTCCTGTCTGTCCCACCAATCCAAGAAGCTTCTTTGGTGGAAGTACCGAAGAGGGCCTTTTCAATGGCCGTCCCACAATTACGGAACAGCCTCCTCAGAGAGGTGCACCTGGCCCCCCTCCCCTCACTTTCAGCCTTCAGGAGGCGGTTGAAGATGGTGGTATTTAGGACTGTGCTCAACTAGTTTTGTGTTTGTTTATTTATTGGCAGCCCTAATTGAGATTTTACATTTTGAACATAAGAACTTAACAACATAAGAGAAGCCAATTTTGGATCAGGCCAATGGCCCATCTAGTCCAACACTCTGGGTCACACAGTGGCCAAAAATACCAGGTGCCATCAGGAGGTCCACCAGTGGGGCCAGGAAACTAGAAGCCCTCCCACTGTTGCCCCGCCCCCTCTGGCACTTAGAATACAGAGCATCACTTGCCCCAGACTGAGAGTTCCTATCGATACCTTGTGGCGAATAGCCACTGACGGTCCTCTGCTCCATATGCTTATCTAATTCCCTCTTGAAGCTGTCCATGCTTGTAGCTGCCACCACCTCCTGTGGCAGTGAATTCCATGTGTTAATCACTCTTTGGGTGAAGAAGTACTTCCTTTTATCTGTTCTAACCCGACTGCTC